TATAAGAAAATGTGCCTCTCCTAAGGGTCTATTCTCACAACTTTAGATCGATCTATCACCGCGGGGAGTCTCACCAGACTACCGTCAGATAATCCCCCTTAAGTGTCCGTCCCCGCCCACTACAAGCCGTAAGGGGCAATTAACTTTCGTGTCCGCCCGGCTGACAGCTATTCAGCGCGAACCCCCAGGGAGTTAGGTCGATCCAAAGTAGGTCGATCTAATCTATGGAAATGGGGTGTTAGATTGGCCTACTTTAGATCGACCTAACTCCCTGGGGGTTCACGCTAAATAGCTGTCAGCCGGGCGGACACGAAAGTTAATTACCCTCTTACAGCTTGTAGTAGGCGGGACGGACATTTAAGTCGGATTATATGAAAGTAATCTAGTGAGACTCCCCGCGGGGATAGATCGATCTAAAATCTATGGGAATAGAGCCTTTCAGATCTGCAGATCAAATATGGTCGACCCACTTGAATGTTTGTCTCCGCGGAGAATCCATTCAGTTCATAATTGGGAATTAAGCGACGAGCTTTTGAGCGAGTCGCCTTATTTGATCTGCAAATCTGTTAGTCCTCTGTTCTGATAGCACCCTATATAATGGTCAACTTACCTTTAGGTACTTCTCCTTTATGTTAGCATTGGCAATGACCTCTGACCCTAGTCTGCTAAACATGGGGTCTGTTTCCTTCCATCTCTGACCGCTGTTAGTTGGGTTTTCTTTAGCATACTCCGTCATGGAACCCAACAGGTGCATGTGGGGCAGAAGTTTTTCTTTGGTGTATTTTGGATTTCCTTTCACCTTTTCCCACCCTTAACATAAAAAATAAAAACAATCCTAATACTATATATTTCTCCATATTTAGGAAGATCTAAATGAGAAATCTACTATATACATTTATTGTTATGAGCGAAAATATGGTCCCCTACTAGTACTACTATTTAATGGGCTCTAAACCCCACCCCTTGCAGCCACTTCGACATTTTAAACAAGTAAAATGATGAATTTGTGTATTTTGGTTTGGTCGCCATTATCACATTCACCTTACACGTACCAAATGATAAAACTGACAAGTTTAACGAATGAAATTGTATTTCCCAACACTATATTTTGTCTGTTTTGTTTGAAGTATTTTAAGTCATATGTCTATAAATCTCTTAAGAATCACTGATACTACCAGTAGTATGAAATGTATTACCTTTTGGTGGGTTAAGAAAGAAATCCAGGCGCCATTTATAATTATTAGAGACATTTACAGCAACGTAGAGATGTTCATAGTCGTCCGAGCTATAAACGATGTCAAGCATTTTGCTTTTGCTGAGAACATGGTCTAAAATAAAAAAAAATCCACATACGATGGTCGAACATATTGTAACTCGTGTACAAAACGAGTAGAAGTCAATAGTTGGTTTGTAAACTTTTATCTCAATCCCAAATAATAATTCCAATCCGGACAAAGCAATCTTCATGATTTTACATAAATTTTACTGGTTGCGTAAAATAGACGTCTACAAAATGCTAACACAAATTTTTCATAAAGTAGATCATGTAATTTGAAAGCTTGGGTACGTTGGTAATATTCAATTATGTGAAAGGATTGACTCACTTTCGTGCAAATGCATGTTTCCACCCTTTGGGAATGTTTTCAAGGTTTTGAAAACTTTTGAGTTGACGATATGATCGAGGACGCTTTCCAATCCTACAGAAGGCGGAAATCTGTCTTTTGTAGCCATGAACTCTTGCCATTTCAAGTATTCCAGGTAGTTATCGACGATCTTTTCATCCTGGTGCATGAAAGATAAATGAATTAGTGAGTCAAACAGAAAATACCGGATAACATCAACCCTATATCGATGCTCCTATGTTAAAAAACACTTTGAATATTTCAAAACATTGTAGTACCACGGCCATTTTTTGAAATGGCACTTGGGCTGTTCGCTTTTCTTGAATATTTTATAATATTTTGATATATTTAAGTTGGATATATTTTATCACGAAATTACAATTATTGAGAAATCAACAGCGGCTGTTCTCTCTGTAGTCAATGGGCCAACCCTAGACCCCATTCCCCCTTGGGGATTTTTTATGGTGTTTTTTATTTGGGGGGGGGGGGATATAGGGGAGTCCCCCGCTTCAGAATATGATTGTCTGCCATCTGGTTATCGTTGATTATAGCTGACCGCCGTTTTGAATATTTAATTAGCTAAAACTTTGATTTCAATCACAGATATTTTTTTCATTTAATGGCCATGTGTGATACACGTAGAAAGGGGTTTTGGGAGTCAAGAAATTCATTTTAGGCAGTTTAAAGAAGCTAAAATGAATTGTTTTCAAGTTAGCAATGAATTCATGTCTATCAGCCTCTTATATTTTAAGCCATTTTTCCAAGCGTTTTGCCCCTTCTATGAAAAGAATGTTATTTCTTCTATTCAATGATATTTACAAAGGATACACCATATTCTAATCATCCCTGATGTTTGGTGCGTATAATTACATTCCAAGTCTTGCTGTTGCCAGCTACTGGTTATCGCTGTAACTGAGGATATCATCCCCAGAAATGCACTGCATGACGTCACGCTTAGCCCACTGCGCATGCGTGCACTTTTAATGAGTTTCTAGATTGCCATAGGAAATGAATGGGTTCGCGATTCGTGGGTAATTCGTGATAATTGACTAACTTACGACCTGATGCCGATAGACAGCAACGCTGTGCTATGCTTCAAGCAACTCCTGACCAAATATCGTTAGGGTTTTTAAAAAAATTCTGTTGTACACACGTACTAAGAAGTTTGCCATGTATTGCCTAGCCTACCCTCGGCAAAACGCACATATTTTCAGAAATAGTGATTTTAGACGGTAGATTCACTCAGAAACAAAGGCAAACTAATTCGTTGCCGATAGCACCAGCAGATACCAGCACCATACAGAGTCTGATTAAAAACTTTCATGGCACTGTACCACTGTACAATGGAGTCCAAAAAAAAAAAAAAAAAAAAGCACTTGGCACAAATGTGAGACTGCCCAGTGCAAGGCCAAGAATTCAATCAGTATTTTCAATCATATTATCAGATTCTACATAAATTGTAGTAAAGGAAAAATGCAAATAAGAAGTGGAAGACCAATTTTACCCACATTATTCAATTATTTGAATATAAAAAGAATAAGATCACGATTTAACAAATTAAAATAATCTTTCATGAACTCTTTTATGAATAACATATTAAACAATATTAAAGTTATAAATTAGTGGTAATGGATTATTCTGGAATATATGACCTCTGCACATCATCAGTACCTGACTTGGTACAGTATAGTTACTACTTGGATACAGAGTAAGATTTAATAATGTAACAATAAGAACAATATATATTACAATAAACTTCTCTGCACATATCAGACGCTTGTTACCATGAACTAACACTACTTGACAACGGGCTGAGCACTTATCACAGAGTCTGTGTGCGATGCCATTGTTGTGCTGTGATTGGCTAGTTGAGTCACGTGAAGCCCTACTGTAGTGCCCTCGCGTATCGCGTGAATGCTGCACATTTCTGGCCATGTGAAGTATCACTTGTGCTGAACGATTTATCCACTAGTGCTGTGTTGCACACAGACTGTTATTCCAGCTCAATTATCAACATTTTTCTCTTATATTGATGCTTATTTCTTAGCATTTCAGGCAGGAAGACAGCTTTTAAGTTCATTAATGATGAAATCCTCAGCAGAATCAATACAAATTATAATACATGTATATCTATACATCTATATTGAAAACAAATTATCTAATGCCAGGTAAGTTTTGCATCTATTAAAACATATACCGGGTACATAGGCCTACTGTACTTATAAATATACATACATAAAGAAATGTATTCGCTAGTATATTTTGAGAAAATAGCTAAGCTCCAATCATCATGAAAAGGTCATTGTCCTCCTACACAACATGCCCCCTGCACAACATGCTTCCACTCCCTCTTATCCTGCGCTTTTCTCTCTATCTCTACCATGGTCACCCCACATGTTTCTTTAATGTTGTCTCCAAGTCTAGTCTTCGGCCTCCCTCGTCGTCTCTGCCCATACACTGATACCATCAACATTTTTTTTTGGAGTGAGTTATCTTTTCTAAGTTTATGTCCAATGAATGTAAGTTTCTTTTTCTGTAAGATGTTAAGAAGTCTCTCCTCACAGTTGATTTTATGTAGAACTTCTTCATTGGTTTTCTTTTCCTTCCAGCTGATACTGAGGAGTCTCCTGAAGGACCAGAGTCCGAAACTCTCACTCCTTTTTCGATCGGAAGCTTTGAGTACCCAGCATTCTGATCTGTAGGATGTGATTGTATTTTGGCGTCGTGATGCAAGACATGGATCGTAATTTAAAATATTATTAAGTCGATGTAGATTCATTATTATAAATTATTAAAAACCGATCGATGTTTATATAAAGGCCTATATTTGACATAATATATTAAAATGAATTTACGGTAGCTGCATGGTATATATGTTGCCATGGGTAATAACTAGTTCTAGAATCTTCGGACTGTCGTAATCGCAATAACCAGCATGTGATGAAATCCTAAATAAACTATTATACTGAATACCCCACCATCATCTATGATGTTCTATTGATCATTGCTTCCGGAAAAGATCAAATAGACATCAATACTGTAGCGAATTTTATCAAAATATGAAAAACGGTGCTTTAAAGTAAAAGTGATAATTGTTTAGTGTCTATAGTGAGCTAGCGTTGAATCGACGTCACATTATAACGGTATTTTGATGTGGCTGGGTCAACAGTAAGTCGATGTTGAATTTAGGTAGATCAACGGCCCAACCTGTTTTCAACGTTGATCCGATGTCACTATGCCTGCTGGGTGTGCTTTTGTTAATCATTACATGTACAGAATATACAAGTTTACCTAGCTGTCGGTAACATTTGCTTAAAAAATGAAAAAAGATTCCTTTCTTTAGATCGCTTGGGATAACAAAACTTCAACATACAAGATAAAAATGGTCGAATAAATATAACTGTAGACTTACATCAGTAAGATCCATCGCGTGCCCAGCAAACATCCACTCTTTGGCCATCAACTCGTCTCTTTGGCGGGAAAACTCATACTCGCTCATGAAGGGCGTTTTTGCCCCGACGCTGGCGAAAAATACCAGGAGGCAAACGCAAAAGACAAGCATGTTAGACCCTTACTGGGTGGATCTCTATGCTGTGAGGAAATGCACAGACTGCGTCAGGATTTATCTACATATGAAGATTATATAACCTACTTGGATTATAAAATAATCCGATATCATGTACCTTAACAAAGGTCGCACAATGTTAATATAACGCACTGCACCCTGTGGTAACATACTACTTCGGTATTTTAAGACATCTCAGATATTAAAGAATATTTAAAATAAAATTGCTCACGAAGCAATTACTTGCGAAAGTTAAAACAGTAGATAAAATAAACATTTATGCACCTGCTAGCAAGAATGCATTCTTGCTGCAAGACATAATAGAGCCCTAGATAGCTCCTATGGGCCATAGTAATTTATTGCCGCGTTTTAACGTGCAAACTGTGACCCAGTACACACGTTCCTTTTTTTCAGCTTTTTGTATGTATTTATTGATTTGGAGGAAATCACCGTTGTCCTTATTTGTTTACTTTGCATAGAACTTTTTCACTCTCGTCCACACCATTTTATAACTAAAAAGCTTTTCACTGATAGCAGTGTTTAATTGAAAACAAAAATCCCTTAAAAAGTTCCAACATATCACTTCACAGATATGGAGTAGAACTTGAACATACCACAGTGCCATTCTTTGAAAAGAACTGGCAAACTTTACTTATTTATTGTACCATCCATCCCAGTATCTCAGCACAGAGTTAATATTTTGAAAGTAAAAAGGTGCAATGTGTCTGGAGGACTTGACGTACGGTTTAAGTAATATTGTTAATCTATCAATCCATCGTACTGGCATACATATTCAAATTATTTAAACCCCCCCATGTTGCAAAAAATATCTCCTATACTCAGAATGTTCAATCAACGTGTAAGTCCTAAAACAATATTATTATTATTATAGTATTTATCTATTTAATTAATTAATTTAATTGATTGGTTTATTTATTAACTTCCTTTATTACAAGACAAAGGAACCAAAAGTTTTGTATCAATGACAAAAGTTTGTCAGTTACAAACTGGAGTACTCCGCAGTAAGCCTTGCAGATTTTGAGCGATACCTTAAGTTCATGTTCACACTGGATTTTCACTAAATAAACAAGGCAGCAAAGCTGTCAAATGTACAGACAAAAAGCAGGAAATAACAAAATAGGCTACTGTCAATTCTGATACAAAAGTACATTATGTTAAACTGCAAATTCAACATCAAATTTTAGTTATGCTCAACAGGTAATACCAATGTAAGTAAAATGTGTACCAAGCATAAGGCTTCAGGCCCATGGAAGTTCAAGTTCACACTTTGAAAATGTAAAACTTCCAGAAAAAGAAGTCAATTAGACTGCTTTTCCAACGTCAGGCTGCATTTTAGTCCTGTATTTCTTTTTTGAAAGTTTTGCAATCATAAGTAACATGGTTTTCTCATAATGGTCATCATGGCAGCAGCACCCAAAATTGTGTTTTCTTCTATTCTGATGCAATATTACATAATGGTTTACAGCATAATGACAATCAATTTTTAATAAGAAAATATACCTATCATGGATTTTCAGAAAATGTGACTATCATGGGTCTTCAAGCCTGTGGAACTTCAAAGTCACACATTGAAAATGCCAATATGTGAAAAATTAAATTTTCACAAAAAAATGTTTAACTGGCAGATTGCATTGCCTACTGAAGCTATATTTTAGTCCCATGTTTCTTTCCTGTAAGTTTGAGAACAGTAAGTGACATGGTTTTTCTTAAATGGTCATCATAGTAGCAGTGCCCAAAAATAGTTT